TGTGTGTGTGTGTGTGTGTGTGTACTCACCTTGCGTGTATTTGGTTTGATGCATCGTATAAAGTACGGGTTGGAGGTGCAGAGCGTGGCCATCAGGGAGTGCAAAGAATTCTGTGTTGAAATGAAAGGGGCACAAACATTTCAGTTACTATCACAGTGACGAGAGTTGCTGCTCATTGCCTACATGTAGCTAGTATTACTTTCACTGCTGTGACTGCTAACATTTTAGTTTCCCGAGGTTACACAACAACTACCGACGACAACTAGAGCAGTCGGACCTTCTCCATTCAGTAATAATCAGTAATAGTAGAGTTTCATACTTGTAATAATGAGAGTAGTACTACTTCTGCAATACTGAGGACCATCACAGTAAATAAAATACTGGCTCTAATATTTTTATGATCAGGTACTACTACAACCTCTAGCACAGTACTACTACTGTTGTTGCTACTGTTACTACAACGGGTGATATGGTATCAGTTGTTTTCTACAACAACAGCAACACGACATTATTAAGTGATTAACTGTCACAGCTGCAGAAAACCTGCAAATGATTCATATTCATCATCGTCTATGAGTAGATGCTGTTTTAACGACTACACTTCCACCTACTGAACACAACAACTGTACAGCTACCGCTGCTACTCAGCTGCTGTCGGGACCACAGACTGTATATGAAGAGGTCGGGACTGACTGAGTGACACGTTCTCCTCTGTCTCTTTTCCTGATGAAGGTCGATGAGCTGCAGGCGGTCCAGCTCAGGCCGACACTGACGGTTGAAGACTCGCAGTTTGTTTGGGACTTACCTTGAACTGGGAGCTGACTGTGGGCCGTCGGTGCTTGGAGCTGCTCTTCAGAGTGTCCTGTTTGTTTCGGCTCAATACGTGTTCGAACAGATCGTAGACAAAGTCCAACCTGACACACAGAGACATGAAAACATCAGAGGAAGCCGAGTCGGATGAATCAGGACGCGTCTCTGTGATCCCTGATGATGCAACGCTCTGAATTATAACTTAGAACCATCGCTTCCACTCGTATTCAGACAAAAATCAGTTTGAGCTGAACTGCAACTTTGGAAGTTTAATGAAACATGTATATTTTCCATTTTTTATCGTATATATCAAGAAGTATCGTGAGAATCTTTTATTTCTCTATTATTTCTTATTTCAGCGACATCAGTGCAGGTGCCCTTGAGCAAGGCGTTATAATCCAAACTGCCTTGTTGCCACAGTTTTCTCCTCTAATTGGAAATGCTGCCGCTCACCTGCTCTCCCTCAGCAGGTTGAGGATGTCGTCTCTGAAAGTGTCTCTGTTCTTCTCCAACATCCCCCTCACGTCGTACACCACCTGCAACGAGCCACAAGGGGGCGTCAGTAGGCAAGACGAGAGCAGCAGCACCTCCGACTTGATCTGAGCACAATAATCGATACCGGAGAAAAACGACGACGAGGCAGCACCCACCTCTCCTGCATAGTGCTTGACTCCGAAGAAGTGCACGGCAACACGGGGCTTCACGTAGAAAGAGTTTTTCTGCAGCCGGAGAAAAGAAACTGTTCATTTTTAATATTTCTCTGTCGGCTGAACTCAAACCTGCATTGGAGAATCACTTGTTTCTCAGAACATCAGAAACCTGAAATCTGAAAGCCTGCTCGTGCCAGTCGTCATGGTTCTGCACTGATGCATCGGAGAGATTTATTGGATCTTACTCACGAAGCCATGGAGAGAAATATTTATTGGAATCGCTCGTATTAACTTAAATGAAACTTCTTCCACTGACATGAATGTTGACGTCAGGCTGCTCCGATCAACACTCTGTTCTTCAACAGATGATAAAAGCAAACAATGGACCTCAGATGATGATGACAACTTGATAAATTCGTGGGTTTGAACATCTCTGGTGTTTGTTGGGGAGAAGAACAGCAGCTCTTGGGTTTTTTGGAAACAGTGGACGGACGGACGGACGGACGGACGGACGGACACCTACCGAGTGCTGGCTGTGGAGTTTCTCCAGTAAGGTGTCGTCTGTGGCTTTGGGGAAGTGACTCTCCTCATTCATCAGTGCCAGGAGACCCAGTTTCTATGGAAACACCATCATCATCATGATCATCTTCTTCATCTGACAGTTTTAAACAAATGTTGAGAGCAACGAGACATTTTCCTGAAATGTTGGAAGCACAGAGACGCTCCCTGTCACCCTGACAGTTTTCATTCAGCCGTACCTTCTCGATCAGGTCCAGACACTCTCCGTTGTCCATCCAGTTGATGTCGACCCACACCAGGCCCTCCCTGCAGGACGCAACACAACACATTTACAGCAAAGACGGAAACACACAGACAGAGACACGGCACCAACGTAAACCTGGTTCTGACCACTTCTCAGCCGTCGACACTATTCTCGTGGTTGTGACGATGACCCGTTTACCACGATTCAATAAGTTTCATCTTTTATGGAATGAATCCTGCGACAAACACTAACAGACACAAACCTTTCCTGAGGGTTCAGATTCTAAAGTATAAGATTAGTTGCTGGATGAAGGATTCAGCCACATCGTCAGCTGTGTTTTCTTTTCTAAATATTGAGAAACATCAGGAAACAGTTTGGTCAAAGTGCACGTCGCTCTGGGAAACGAGTTCTTGGCAGGCAACAGTCCTGAGCTCTGATTTTCCACGGCAGCTGAGCTACTGCCCAGTGAAAGTGAAGACACAGAGCAGCGTCCATGTGTCACGAGCTAGATTGGATGTAGATGTAGATCGGACTAACTACATGAAGTTTAAAAGTCCAAACTCTGTTTTATACGATCAGTAATTCGGTTCTTTGGCTGCATGTAACTCCACTGACAGATTTCTGTGCAGCTCCCTTCACCACAGACTTTGGACTTTTTAACTTTGCAGAACTTTCACATTAAAAACTCAGTGACACACCAGAGCAGAGAAACAATCAGAAACATCACGTCTCATCGACCAGTGGGGAAAGTAAACGGTCGGAACAGACTCCACCTACTTGTTGTACTCGAGTTGCTCCAGAGAGAAAATGTGCTTGTTAAAATATTCCTGAAGCTTCTCATTTGCATAGTTGATGTTGAACTGCTCGAAGCGGTTGACCTGCGGACGATAAATCAGGTCGATGTTAAAGACACAAAAAACACAGACGGAAGATGAGTTTAACTGAGATTCAATTTAAACTACATTTATCACTGAGAAGTTAATTATATTTATAGCGTTTTTATCCCCCCCCCCCCGAATCATCGAGTGTTAATATATTGTTTCACACACCTCGAAGTTCTCAAACCCGAAGATGTCCAGGATGCTGATGGACTTGAAGTCTTCTTTGCCTCTGATGCGGCTGTTGAGTTTCCGGATGATCCAGTTGAAACACTGAGAATAAAGTGCCATGGCCATGGAGTCTCTGGAGTCCACCGCCTGAAGAGAAGAAACAAACGTGTAAAACACAGTCGTCCAGGCCGGGTTGATTTTAGTCAGTGCTGCGGGTCCCGTGTCACACAGAGAAGATAAAATTAAAAATGAGGCTCGTCTTGTCTCCTGTTGCGCAGCGTTTTTAAATGAAACTTTGATAATGGCTGTAGGATTCTTGAGCGTGTGCTGAGGGTCTTTGAAATATCACATAACTCGTGAAAACGGCTTCTCTTTTGCTTAAACCTTAAAGACAGAGCAACAAATCAGTTTTCTGAGCCATGAAACAAATCAAACAAAGGTATTTTCCTTTAATTGTGATAATAATAAACTTTAAAAAATCAGTGACGCAGGACGAAACGGTACCAAATATCAAAAACCATTGAAATATCAAATGATCATCAATCATCAGACGCTAAATACGAGAAATAAGAACAACAACGAGCTGATGTTTGATCTCATATTTGATGAAGTTTGGGATGTGAGCTCCTTCCAAACGTACGAGTCTCAGATACAAACACGTGATTTGAGGCGGATCACATTTCCACGTGAAGGACACGAGATCACTCACCTGTTCCACGGTGAGCGGTGTGGAGATCTGCTCCCCCCTGAGGATCATGGACCTGTGGGTCAAAACCTCGGCCAGCTGGTCTGAGTTCAGCCCCAGGAGGTCGGATGTGCGGCTGAGAGCTGCAGACGTCAGCAACACAAACTGATCTCACTTCACATTTTTACATTTTCCAGACTTTCAATGTGTTTTATGTTTTCATGTTACATGGAGAGGTTCGGTTACAGAGGTGAAGACGGGGTTTAACTCAAGGTTCTTTATTTGGTCAGAGGAAGAGGAGTGAAGAGGAGTGAAGAGGAGTGAAGAGGAGTGAAGAGGAGTGAAGAGGAGTGAAGAGGAGTGAAGAGGAGTGAAGAGGAGGGAGGTGTGGACGACGAGGGGGAGGATCTCTGACCTGATTTGGAGGAGACCTGTGCTCCGCCGGCCGTCATGAACTCGATGTTCCCCGCATGAAGGATCCCGGCCAGGAGGCGCAGGATCTCCCCGATGTTCTCCTCCGTGAACTGCATCGTTCGCATGGCATTCTGGGAGCCGCGAAACACAAAGAAGAAAAAAGAGTGAGCTCCTCGGGTCACACCTCCATCTTCTCCAGCGACTCACATCGAGTTCCAGCGGATTTAGTTTCTTTTGGTTTAACGATCCAGCTGCTGATAATTCTTTTGGGACATTTGAGAAAAGAACTACCAGACATGACAGAGACCTTCTTTGAGAAACATTTCATTTCATTATTTAGTTTTAGTCTTGAATAAACGACTGTAGAGTGTGTGTGTGTGTGTGTGTGTGTGTGTGTGTGTGTGTGTGTGTGTGTGTGTGTGTGTGTGTGTGTGTGTGTGTGTTGTGACCTCCGCACCAGAACATCCTGAAAAGTGCCTTTGTCGTTGATTGTCTTGTCGGTGACGCAGCTCGACTGCCTCAGGTAGTGGTAGCTGTCGGGGTGGGTCAACGTGAACGCCTCTGCAGACACACAACAGACACACAACAGACACACAACAGACACACACACTGTCACAAGCAGCTTTCTGACGAGACGCGCTCGTGCTTGTTGAACTTACAGAACTTAGAACAGCAGCATCAAAATGAGTTTGATGGTTCACCGACCTCTGTTACACCTGAATTAATATTTGCACATTTACACTCGTAAACCTGATGAGAACTGAGGCGCTCTCTAACGAGCTGTTTTGCCAAAATAGTGCGTTCACTGCGGTGACTCATTTCAATCGCTAAAACCGATAACACGGCCCGGTCAGATTGATTTGACAGAATGAATCACCATGTTTGTGGCTGCAGGGGGCGCTGTTGCTCAGGGGAAGTTTCACGGTGTTGCTTTAACTCTGAACTTTGACAGGACGTTTGTCTCTGATGCAAAGAGGATGTTACTGGTTCTGTGCGTGCTCAGGGTTTGTTGCTCACCTCGCTGCTGGTTGTTGGTTCCTGCTAACAGAGCGTAGAAGATGTGGTAGTTTCTCTCCCCTGGGTTCTGCCGGACCACGCGGTTCTGGAGAGAAAAAGAGAGAATGGCTTGTTATTCCACCAACGATGACTCATCTCAAACACATCATTCAGTCACAGGTTCACAGGAGGAAGGACACTCACCTTTTCTAAGAGGTCTGTGGTCGGAGAAGTTTCTGTCAAGGCCCAAAACGAAATGATTCGGAATAATGTTCCACAGAGAAACCAAGAAAAACAGTGAGAGCTGCAACCTGCTGACCTCCCACACACACGAACTCCACGGTTATGGATGATTGAACATATCAGCGTTAGGGCCGACGTGGTCAGAGGAAGACTCTCCCTGAGAAGCAGGTTCGACTGACCGTAATACTTTGCTATACTTTGCTTTGAAGAAAAAAAACAATATGATTTTTGGATTGATTTCAATTTACGTGAGCAAACAAATAAAACGGTTTCTTTAAAACATTCCTGCAATAATATTGCAGTTTATTGTCCGTTTGTCCAGAGTTGTAAGTTACTAATCCTAAATTAGGAGCTAATATACTGCAGTCATTATATTCAGGATCTATTTCTTCTCGACCCACGAGAGATCCTGCTCGTCTCCATCCCCCAGAGCAACAACCTTTTCCACGTCTTCCTAGAAACAACCCGTAGGGTTTTAAAGGATACAGTCGACGATCCTGCCGCCCTGGATGTTGCCCTTCTGGCTGAAATGCAGCTGGACAAACTTCCCGAAGCGGCTGGAGTTGTTGTTGTAGACGGTCGTGGCGTTTCCAAAGGCCTCCATGATGGGACTAGAGGAGCAGCGTCGTTAACACACAAACGTTCTCCAGCATTTACATCATCCTCACCAATTAACTGGATGCTTCACACTTCAATGTGTTGTACGAGCTGTGAACTAAGTTATACGACCAATGAAACACATTAATGTTGGTTTAAAAATCACACATGTACGGCCCGGACTTGGCTCATAGCGCCACCTAGTGTTTCAAACTGTCCTGACGTCTCTGTCGTGTGATCGGTGAGTCGTAGGTCGTACGTGTGTGTTTACGCGTCTTCAGACAAACGTAGCAGTGAGGTTACTCTTGAAATAAAGCGATGGCTCACCTGCTCTCCAGCAGCGCCTCCTCCACGTGTGACGTCCTGTCTCTGGACGTCACCTCCAGGGAGTGCTGGCTCATCGCCGACAGGAACTTCAGGATCAGCTTGGTGCTTTCTGTTTTCCCCGCTCCGCTTTCTCCACTGTGGGCAGAAAAACACACGGATGTTTCAGTCCCGTCTTCTCAACTGCCCTCGAGCAAGGCACTGGCCTCCCTGTAGATGGGGCCGATATAATAACTGTGATTCATCATGATGTTTCTTTTCTTCGTGGTCGTGGAAGTGTCGTGTTTTCAGCAGGACGTTCGGTTTGTTTCAGATAATTTAATCTGTGGGACAAATCAAGTTAAAAGAAGCCATGATTTGAGAAACTACGTTTTATGATTTCTCTGATATATAATTTATATTTCAGCACCAGGTTTGATTTTTAAACCGACACAGATCGTTCTCGTGTCATCGCCACAAACCTCCCGTGTGTTTAAATGAGCTCTGAGGCTCGTTAACTCAAACTGTGTGTGAGGGGCGGGTCTTTATTTGAGGTGTGACTGTGTGTCTGCCTGCAGGTTGTGTGCACTGAACAAACGGCCGCTGCTGCAACTCACAACAAACTGGGTCAGATGTGAATTCGCTTCTAATGACTGACTCATAACTGCTGTTTACACACACACACACACACACACAGACACAAACACAGAGCATCATGGGAAATATTCCAGTCGCTAGATGGGGCAGTGGACGCTGCTGATTCTCTCCCTGAATGAAATCCAGGGAATTTTAAAATCAACAGGGAAAAGTTAATTAACTTAATTTCCATAACTTAGAAACAAATTGAAAGAACATGAAGGCATCAGAGAGAGAGAGAGAGAGAGAGAGAGAGAGAGAGAGAGACGTGACGGGGATCAGAGTCTGAATATTATCTGATTCATATGAAATGATCACAGAGTGTCTCGGTCCGATGTAAACACGACCCACATG